CTGCTGGCAGAGGATGTGTAGTGCTCCTTGACATAGAGTGCCACCCCCCCCCCTTTCCTTCCTTCTCTATCCCGCCTGTAAAGCCTATAGCCCCTAATGCTAACTGCCCAGTTGTGCCATGAATCCCACCATGTTTCTGTAACTATTATTATCGCTATTATGTCTGGGTCTGAACTGGCTATTCTGAGGGCGAGTTCCTCCTGTTTATTCCCCATCCTACGAGCATTGGTATGTAGGCATTTAAGGCCCTGCCTAGCTGCGTGTGCCACCTCCCAATTTGGGAGACTGTTTGGACCCCTGTTTCTTACCTGGGCACTCCATGCATTTGTCACCTGTCTTGCTTGGGTGGTGTCTTCTTGTCTTCCTGCGGCCCCCTCCCCCGGGACTGCTAGTTTAAAGCTCGCTGTCCGAGATCAGCCAACCTGGAAGAGAAGACACGCTTGCCTTTAGGAGAGAGGTGAAGCCCATCCCACCCCAGCAAGTCCCCCACCTGAAAGTATGGGTCATTATCAAGGAACCCAAGGCTTGCCTGGCGGCACCAACTGTGTAAGCACCGGTTGACCTTGCCAACGCAGGCCTTGCGTCGCCGTCCCTGCCTACTCACCAGAAGAAGAGAGGAGAATACCATCTGCGCCCCCATCTCCTTAAGCTTGTCTCCCAGAGCCTTGAAATCCTTCATAATGCAGTCAGGGTTGCCCCTGGCCATGTCATTCGTCCCCACGTGGATAACAACCATGGGGTAGTCGTCTGCAGGTTGGATGTAGGCTGGGATCCTCTCCATGATGTCTGTAACCCGAGCCCCAGGCATGAAGCAGACCTCCTGCGTCATGGGGTCAGGCTGACAGATAGGACCTTCCAGTCCTCGTAGGATGGAGTCTCCGATGACGAGGAGCCAGCGTTTCTTCCTGCTGGTGTTCGCTCTTTTCCCATTCTTTACTATGTGGGGAGTGGCATTGTCCCCGCTGGAGGCAATTTCACTGTCTTTCTCCATCACAGCTGCCAGGGTGTCAAACCTGTTCCCTAGGGGAACCTGGGGAGCTTCCACCACTCTAGGCCTACCAGCTCTGGATTTGGACACCTTCTGCCACTCCTGTGTTGGATGCGTCTCCTGTGGGGGCTGTACAGTGGGCGAGCAGGCCTGCAGAGAACAGAAATAGGCATCAGTTTCGTCCTCTGCATCCCTGATCCCCCTCAGCCTGCTCACCTCAGCCTGAAGCTCCCTCACCTGCTCCTCCAGGGCCCTAAGTCATGTACAGGAGGGGCAGGCAAGGGGACCACCAGGCCCCAGCCCCCCAGAACCCCACTGAGCCCCCCCCACAGACGGGGGCAAGGGGCCACCGACTCCGCCATGAGCTCCATCTGGGTGGAGACCTCAGAAGAGCCCATGGCAGGTGGCCGCGCTGGGGTGGGGCCCCTGGCAGTTGCCCTCCGCGTCTGCACCATGTCTACAGAGCTGCGCTTGCTGCTGTTGCTCACTGGAGGTGCCACTCTGGGCAGCTACCTCACGTCCGCCTTACGCAAACGCTGGCACACCCTTACAGAGCATGCCTGTTTGCGCGCAGCTCCATCGGGCGAGCTAAAAGGGCTCCGGAGGGCTTCCCCTCCAGATCTGCCTCAGCTGCGCTGTACCCTCTGCTCCACTTACCTTAGGGGGAAATCAGCTGTTGCTGCCCCCGCCGCTGTCTCCTCCACAGCTGCTGCCTTCGCCGCCGAGGTAA